AGCAGCTTGATTTTCGCAAATACGGCGCAGCCAGAGCTGGTTCTAGTTCGTGAAACCCCCTGGCAGCCCTGAGCGCCCTAGGCTAAGAACTCTAAACCCCAAAAACCCGTAGGCTCCTCCTGGTAGAGAATTCTACCTGTACGCACTTGGAAAAGGGCCTGTAAGAACAGAACAACCTTGACACTTAAAGAGGGTCTTATTACTGAAACGAACTGCAATGGTGCTGAAACCCCTGCATACTCAAGTGCATGCACTGAGCCCCTTAAACCCTCATCAACATCCGCGAGACATCCCAACCATAACCCGAAACCCCTACACAAAAAACACAATCCATAAAATCGAAGGCTCAACTCTGCAACCCTACGCCCCAAACGGCCCAGCTGCTCGTCCATGACTCTTTCTGCTCCTTGTACTGGTTCTCCTGCAAACTTTGTGAGAACTTGGGGTGTTCCCTTAGCTCGGGGGTCCGTATTATCAGGATCCTATTGTTTATCCTTGATTTAGGGGTCCCTACAGTAAGGTTCCTACTTCTCAAGGCTTTTCACATAGGATGGAAGATTTGCTAGGATCTATTCTTGTCAAGGAGCCTACTTTTAAAGTTAACAGAACTGAGATCCAAAGTAGACGTGTTTCCTTACCTGGTTCTGACCACGTAAGGCCTTCAACATCCAAAGCTTTACCAAATCCTTCTACTATCTACAGCCCTTCTGAAGCTGAAGGCGTTGGGGGGTTCAACCCTAAACCCTAAACCCTAACCCCTAAAGCCCTAAAACCCTAAAGCCCTAAAGCCCCAAAGCCCTAAACCCTAACACCCTAAAGGGGTTCCTGGCTGTCTTACCCGCAATTCTTCTGCTTGGGTTTTGGCTTTGGAGCTTAGGGGTTTTTTCAATTGAGGGCGCAAGGCTTAGGGTTTAGGCACCGAAAAAATCCAAAAGAAACTGAGATGACTCTACAGAGTATAGTGCGCTGCTAGATTTGTGCTCTTCTCTTTGCACCTATGACCCCCATTGCAAAAATCCGAGTCAAGAAACTGAACCCCCCAATCATAAGTACGGAGTGACCAGCCAGAGTCGTCATAATAAGCATATGGCATCTCCAGAGACGAAGGAGCCCTAGTATAGATTAACATAAAAGCCTCAAGATTGGGATCCTGGCTCTAAGGTTGGGGCTTAGGGCTCCAAGGACCTCCAAAAGCTTATTCTGCGAAAATCACACATCTGCCTTTGCGAGCAAGACGAGCCAGCAGTAGTCATAGTTGCAACACTACCCAGACTTCCATAGCTACCCCTGCAGGAAGAAACAACTAAACCCCAATGACGCCAATCATGCTCGCAAGTCATTCAAAAAATGCCAAACCTAAACCACAGATAAAGGGGCTTGAATTAAAAAAACATGAATCCTAAACCCTGAGTTTAACACGCACTCGAACACCAAGGCCCGAAAGACTCGTGGGATGAGCTTGTACAGGGTTTGGGTTAAGGGATCATGGCGTGCAGTTTACGTTGTTAAGTTTGGATTTAAGTGCGTTTTAACATCTTGGATTATAATCCTGCACCCTCAACCCGAAACGGCAACCATAGTCGACATACAATATCCTAAATAAGCAAAGTATCGCGAAGGCGACAAGAGGGTGAGACACGCAACACTAATTAGTAGTGAGAAAGAAACACTCAAAAGCCATCAGAACTCAGACTACTCATCTTATAAATGTATGTTAACTTCCAGCAAGTCATAACAGAAACGGCGCTAATCACAGGAGTGGTGCTGAATTTCAATTCAACGATGAGTGCATGTAGCATTATACATTTGTATATATGTATATATGTACACACTCTATATATATAATACATATTATATATATATATGCATACATATGGTTGTGCATATACATATACATATATATATATATGTATGTATGTATACATATATACACATGGGTGCCCATCCCAAGATCCACCGTCTCTGTTCCATTCTCTCGCACATAGCCCGAGGAACCAGTAGCGAATCTGGAACCCGCCCATACTTTCCAGCGGTAAAGCACGACCTCCTTCTCTGCAGCGACCCTGATAATCGATATCCAAGGCCTGCCCCGAGCACGTACTCAATATGGTGGAATGGAGCACTTTGGTGCCCTCCACAAACTTGATATGCTTGGTGGTGTGGTGTTTGCCGCCATCAGCGGGGGCGATGACCGAGTGCATGTTATACGCCACCTCCACCCTGCCCTTGTTGCGGATGGGCTCAGGGAGGTCGGCGTAGCGCTGTTGCAAGAACAGGTGCTCCAGGTTTTTGAAACCAATCGGCCCCTCGTGCCCCAAGATGACGTCGAGGAGTTGTGTCTTCTTTCTGACGACATCTGAGATGTTGCTGACTGCTGGCAGATCACCTACAGTCACAAAGCCCGGCTCTTTGTGAACAATCATGGAATCATGGGCTTATCTTAAAGTAAGAACTTTGAGGCCGTGTTCCCCAAGGCGTCTTCGAAGGCAAGGCTGCCGTCGAGGTTGCCCCTGTCCGTTCTGGGCAAGGCTGATAGGGCACGACGGAATGGAGCTGGCCGTGGCGTCAGATGGAAAGAAGGTTGAACATTGCTATAGAAAACGGTGCTCGAAGCGCAGGCTGCGCTTCGACTTTCTCCTCAAAGGTTCTGAGATGATGTCGGCATTGCTTGTGGCAAAATGACGAGAACAGATTACTGCTCCACGCTCCATACGAGATGCGAGTTTTTTTGCTTGGCGCTCCGTAAGTGTGAGATGTTTCGTTTGATGCTCCGTACTACATGTGAGGAGTTTTGCTTGATGCTCCATGCTAGATGCGAAGATTTTTGTATGATGCTCCATACTAGATGCGAGGGGTTTGTTTGATGCCCCATACAAGATGCGAGGATTTGTGCTTGATGCTCCGTACTCTATGCGAGGATTTTTTGTTTGTTCTCGATGGCAGAAGAAGATGTTACATAAACCAGGATATGCTTATGAGCACGAAAGCAAATACGAGACAAAGGGGGTGTGACAGCGTTTACGCTAGCAAGCCGAACACAAAGCTCCGTGCACATCCACATGTTTTCAGCGCTTGCAGCAAGTTCTGTGAGAATCGGCCCCTTAGCGGGATAGGGCGAACATGTCTTCCCCGCTCAGAAACTGGTCACCGCCACGGGGTACGTTATAGACCCATTCGCGGTACTGCATGACCCGATCTGCTTGCATCAGCATCATGAGCATAGTATATGTGAGCCTGAAAAGACGAAAAGAAAAGTAAACAGCCAAGTGCCGTTTGGAAGTGCATTGACCTGCACTTCCCATTCCACTGGTGCACGCGAGTTGGTCCAGGTGGAGGTTCTTAGGAGGATTTATGATCCAAAATCAGAAGAACTTGCTTTCTGCTCCGTACATACAACGAAAAAGCGCTTGATATGTAGCATAGCATCTCGCGAACACGATAATCGATCCAAGCACGTCTGGTGGAAACACCCGTGTCAGATGCAACTTCCACATGGCGTCGTAGAATACCATGTGTCTCTATTTCTCTCTTGAGCCGCGTGATAGGGTTTCGGTTTAGGGGTTAATGTTGAAGGATACTTTAGGGCTGAGTTTTAGGGTTTACTGTAAGTGGGGTGGGAGGAGTGAAGTCTGACGTGCCGGCACTCGAAGAATGGCGGCTGAGGGCGGTACCTGGGCAGGGCAGGCGCGGATCTGGGAGGGATATACATATATATATATATATATACATATATATATATATACAAATATATATATATATATATACATATTTACATATACATATTTATATATACATATTTATATGTACATATATGTATATATATATATACATACTATGTGTGCACGTGCAGTCTTGCCTGATCCAGTGCCGAAAAATGGCCCAATATTGGTCCCCGCTAGTCGCGCTTTTTCACAGACCAAATAATCATAAGGTTGGCATTCGGCTGTTCAATGCTGAGACCCGAGTCACGCTGGCAAAAA